AAAAAACTGTTTTACAAAAACAAAGGACAAACATTCAACATAATTCTCTGTAACTGCTCTCCCACAATCACATGCATTTTAAGTCTAGTGTACTGTAAGTTACTTTGGACCATCTAGCAAACAAGATATAAATCCTATCTCATACACTATGATTGATTTTGCAGAAGGCATCAGAGAAACAAAGAAAAAAAATTACTTCCGTAGCAGAAATATTTGTTAATAACTGACCAGTCAGAACGCCGTTCTTCTCATTGGGATCTCTCCAGCTGACTTTGAGAGAAGTGTCCAAAATCTCAGTGAAGCTCAGGTGACCCACAGCACCAGGGGCTGAAAATACAGGACAGAGATCAGACTATGAGCCCTTCACAGGTACAGTATACCTGGAGATGTGAGTGTGATTTCCATTAAAACCAGGGTCAGAGGTTATACTGCTTCCACTGAACATCAACAATATCCACGCAAATTGTGAATGTGTGTGTGTAGGAACAGCACTCACTGTCTTCATGTGTGCGCAGTCGTCGTGGAGGACTGCGAGGACCATCTCCTGGTGTGGTGAAGCAGAGCACAGAGGTGAAGTACTCCGAAAACTTCTTTAAGCCGGTGACGTGACCCACATGCACGCTGTCCTGGAAGTTCGGCCGAACGGTCACTATTGTCATCTCGTCTTCCTTTCCTGGCTCCCATGCTAACAGCTAAAAAGAGCAAGGGATAAATGAACGATCCAGTTTCTTTTTTTTAATTCTTCATTAAAATGGAGGAGACCAATAATAATGGTTTAGTCAAACTTTTTTTTTTAAGTTGATTCTGATGTCTGAGTCACAACAGTGAAGTAAAATAATAGTTAAATAAATGAATGAATGAATGAATAAATAAATAAATAAATAAATAAATAGATAAATTAGTCTAAATGTTGCATCCTACAGAATGGAGAAGAGTGATATAATGGTTTAGTCAAGCATTTTTTATGTCTGTGTCACAATAGTGAAGTAAAATAATAATAATAATAATAATAATATATATATATATATATATATATATATATATACTGTATATAGAGTGAAGTGCCCTGTGCATTGACACACATTTTGTGGGCGTGTTTGCACCATTACCTAATTTGCATAATGGTGTTCAAACAACACCATCAGAGCGTGTGATTTATTCCCCACTGAGAATGGCTGAATGGTCACAGATCTCCTCTCTTTTCCCAATACTATCATAGATTATTTGGCATTTCAAAGTTTATAGACACTTGAAACTCTCCTCTGAGGGCACTAAAAAGGGAATGAGAGTTATAAGATTGCTCTCGAACGAGTCCACAGAGACAAGAAAAAGCATGCCGACAAATATTCCCTCCAGTCCCAGCTGTTGTTGTCTGGGACCGAGCCTAGACCTGGCTAATAAGCTATTAAGACTAATGTGTCCGGCTGACTGTCTCCATTTTGTAATTGTTCTAAACAAATTTTTCCACAGACAGTCTGGCTATAAAGAACCAGAATGACAGGAGGATCGATTCCGGATCTCTCAGCAAAAACGAAAACAATGGAATGAGAGCAGGGAGGCTGAAAGAGACCTTTAGCTACCCTTGCATGAAATCTCAATCTCAACAAACTAAAAAACCTCAAAATAAAAGCTGCGTTTAATGCATTTTCAGCAGCTCAGTTCTGAGTGCAGATTTCTTCTCATTCCTTCAGCGTTTACCTTGTAGCCCTGGTTGATGCCGTTGATGAACTGCGGGTTCGGGGCTGTCCAGGTGAAGCGTATTGTGGTGGAGTTGAAGGGCTCTGCTTTCACATTGCCTGGAGCGATGGTGGGAACTGGTTGACAGGTAAAATGGAAAAAGGAAGACAGAGATGGAAACAAATGAGACTGAGACTTCTTTTTTTGGTGGCATATTTTGGCTGCTAAACCCCAGAAAATTGATGGAAAAGATTAATTAGTTCTGACTTCGCAAATTATAGAAGGGGTACAGCAGCATCTTCACAACTAAGCAGGGGAATTTTAAAGGAATAATTACTCAAATATGCCTCATATTGTTCCAAACGCCTACACTGTCATTCTTGTATGGAAAACAAAAGGGAATTTTTTAAAGAATCTTTACACTGCACTTTTACAACAACAGTTCACAGCGACCTTAAACCAAAGTTTGATTTTCAGTTAATAACTATTAAAATTTTTGTCTGCTACATAAAGCTATTGCATAACCTCACAAGACTTTGAATTTAGGGCACAAGTTGTATGGAGCAGCTCCTTTCAATTAAACCAACATTTAATTGAAAAGAGCTATGTGAAGACTGCGAAATTTATCCTTTCATAATCAAAAAAAAAACAAAAACAAAAAAAGCATGCAGGTTTGAAATAATGCAATTTATAATTATTTTGTATATATAATTATTTTGATTAACTATTCCTTAAAAAGCATTTAAAAAAAGAAAAAAAATTATTATTGAGTCCATCAAACCGTGATCATTTTTTCCCCCCCACGATTCTCTGATGAACAGAAAGTTCAAAAGAACGGAATTTATTATTACGTTACTAATCCAAAACATTTGAATGGAATTTTAACCCTCACCTCCCTGGAGTGTCCACTCTGTAACCTTATGGGAGTAAACGCCCAGTCCAGCTCCATTAAATGCCGCCACCTCAATTTCATAATTCGTCCAGATGATGAGATCCTCCAGCAGCAGGTTGGTGACATCAGGGTTAGAGATGTTTTTATACTGGATATCCACAGGCAGACCGGTCAGACGATACCTGAGATTAGCAGATGGTCAAATTGTTACTGTCAAGGACAGATGCAGATATCTTCTGATCTTAACGTACAGAGAGCTTTGACAGAGCGCAGAATTGATCCAAGAGAACCCTCTCTGAAGGGCTCTGATAAGCATCTCTAAAAATACACCCTGTCATCTACTCTTCATAATCAGATCTGTCTGTTGGTTTTTGTACAGCAGCACCATCTATAAGCAACAGAGGGCGACAAAGAACCACTCTAGAAATGTTATGGCATTCTGTGTGTTTTCCCTGAGCTGAGCTGAGGACCATATGGGGCGACCAAGGTCAGGCACCATTACTTATGTTTGCAATACCAAAAAAGGCCTTCAGCTTTCCTCAATGATGAACAGGAAAAATATATAAATAAATGAACAAAAAGTCCATTTCACTGTCATCACTGACTGCAAGGAAAAAGCCCTGAAGTGCTCAAATCCTGGAGTAGCCTTGAAATAATACAATACAATCAGATTCACCCACGAACCTGCTGTGGGGAAAGATAATCTAGACCGGCTGGAAAAGAGTCATATTGGCATGACCTTGGAAAAAACATACTACAAAAGACAGAGAGTGAAATAAGCGTCAAAAAGAGAAGTGTTTAGGATACTACAAGTCCCCAGACATGAGTAAACATGTCTCACCGGATGATGTATCCTCTCAGGATGCCATTTTGGTGGCTTTCTGGTGGTGGCTGCCATTGAATCATGATGGACTGGTTGGTGCGGCCACTGGCAATGACGTTCTGAGGCGGAGCGCTGGGCGGCTCCTCTGGAAGAGACACCCTGGAGGAGAAAAGATAAACACAAGCAGTGGTTAACCAATATGAATTTTTTGATGGCTGATGGCCGATATAAAGCCAATATATATATAACACTATATAGTTTGAAGATAGTAAATGACATTCTGCAAAGAAATGCATATGTATCTTACAAAATATTAACTAAATTATAAAAAAAAAAAAAGTAAAACAAACAGAACTTCTCGATTCTGTAATCTTATTATAGTATTTTTCTCAAATATAGAAATAGTTATCAACCCAACAGTATAATCATCATACTGGTACATACATTTTCTCAAAGACCAGGTAATGATATAATTTTTATACCATTTACTTTCTTTGTTTAATATTTATGTTTTATAAATAATGAAGACAATGTTTTAATGGCATTCTCAATGCTGTCAAAAATAAAAGTCCCACTTCTGGCACTTATTGGCCAAACAGAAAAAAACGTACCGTTTAATGCTGAAAACTAAACAAATGACAAATATGGGCAGAAATATTGCCTTCACCGATATATCGGTTGACCACTAAACAAAAGATAATACTTAAACATGAACACAAGATAATAATTAACATTATAAAAATAATAAAGAATATTGTCTAATGTAAATGAAGACCAGGAGCTTCAGATGTAACCAAAGTTAAACCTTTTAAGGAAAGACGGTTCACTCCACGACCATCTTAGGCAGCAAAAATGCAATTTCAAATCAGCATTATGGACATTAATGATATCAAAAAGTTAGTTTTTAGACTAAAATAACACTTAAAACATTTTTTTTTTCTTCAGATTAGTCCAGTCCAGAACGGTCACAAACACCAAACAATGAAACTGCTGACTAGCCATTGGCTTTTTTACTTGGAAGGCAGGACTTCTTTCATTCTAGCCAGTTTCTTCATTATTCTGCAAATGGTCTGTCTCTGCTACAGACTTTCTAAGATGTAATATAATCATAATATGTGACCTGTGCTGGCAAAATGAGTCACAATGAGCAATTTTTCAAAAATGAAATATTTTTATATTCACATTTATTTCCCCTAAATGACCTTCAGAATGATGTATGATTTGCTGAAATCGGACAAAAAATGACTGAGCTACACGTGTTTGAAGTCGATAGAGTCAGCAAAGTAAATTTTGGTTCAAGGTTCAAAAGCACAGAGCAACGTTGCATCTTTTCCTCCATTTATTTTCTTAATAATAATTACCATATTATTAATCACAATATAGCTATTTTTTTCTTTTATCTTTGTTATTATAAATAAGAACAGATGCAAAAAACAACAAAAAAACAAAACAAACAAACAAACAGTAGAACAAATATAGGAAAAAAAATTATAACTTTTTTCATTTTTGCAAGAAAAACAAATAATCAAATGTAAAAATCCCTTTAGTGTGCTAATTACAAATAAACTGATTATTAAAACTACAAAAGCAGTTAAATCAAGAGCAGTAATTGATTCCCTCTTTTCTTTTATTGTTAGATTATCATTAATGAGACAAACGGCCTATATATTAAGACCTACTGTAATACACGGATCTAATATAATGTTACTCATCAGATGTTTTTCCCCAACAGTTCCCCAAACGTTCACTTAAGACATAACAGATTATGTTTGTGTGAATACTTAAATACTGTAATTCTGTATATATTTATCAGGATCGTGCTGTCGGAAGTGCCTTTCTGCACATGCTTCGGATGACAGTCAGTGTGAGAAGCGAGCAGAGAAAAGGTACTCCTCTCAGAAAACGTGCAAATAATGATAATTTTAGATGTTTAATTGCTATCTGGAGCATTGGGATCGCTAGATGAGGGTTTAATTAACTCATTTTTGTGAAAATCTCAAATTCGACTGAAATCGACGTTATTTACTTTTTTGCGTGTAGCTCAAAATTACCCCTCGTGCGCATTCAGACTCATTTTGCCAGCACGGGTCACATATGATCTCTCTCTCTCTCTCTTATATAGGGTGGTATCATCCTGTATATTCTGAGTTGGGATTATCTTGGCTAGAAGAGGTTTGTCTCAAACCTCAGGAGAACTAGAGGGATTTGAGTCCGTTCTGATGGGGGCATTTGCTGAATGTCTAATTTAAGTGTCGAAAAGCTTTCTTTACACGCCGAGGGCTTTGATTACACTGATCCTTGGAAGATACACTGACACACATAAACGCCATCCCAGAAAAATACAGCCGTATACACACACACAGCATTCAGACAAATAAATCCTCCTATTGACACTGTCCCACGAGAGCGCAGGCAATTTTCACATGCTGTGACAGAGTGGTAGATTTATCTTTATGGTCAGACAGGGCACAGCTGTAATACGCGGCAGGCTTTAGGACTCTGTGATCAGCTCACCGGTCAGTCTCCTTGCTGAACTGGCCCTTGCCAACGTCGTTGACGGCACACAGACGGAACTGGTATGAGCGCGCCGGGATCAGCCCATTGACTGTTACAGCAGTCGACTCCGGCTCAATGCTGGCCAACAGGACTGTCCAAGGAGCGTCTGTGTAGAGCAGATAATGAAGAACATTTAATGAGCTAGGTGAAGAACTAAACCAACATTAAAAAAAAAGAGCTTTTGCATAGGACAGTCTTCTTAAGGTCCTATGAAGCCATTGAAGAACTTTTCAAGTTCAATGGTTCCATGTACTAGTGCTTCAAAAAAAACAGAAGGTGATACAAAGAACTATCAATATGGTGATATGAAAAATCTATAAAATAGCATCAATTACGTTTGTTTGCTTGTTAGTTTTTTTTTGTTTATAATTATTTGTGATATTGTTATTTGCTGAACCCTATAATAAATAATAATATGAAATAGTACAATAAATATTATGGTCATTGTTTCTTATTCTTCTTATTATAAACAAACATATTTTTTTCATATTACATTATTATTATTATTATTATTATTATTATTATTATTGTTGATGTTATTATTAAATGTTAATTGTTGTTCATTTTTATTTTAATGACATTTAATAATAATAATAATAATAATATATCCTTATTATTACTATAAATTAATTATTATTATTTATATGATTTTAATAATACTACTACTACTACTCTATTTAACATAATTACGACTTTCAGAACATCATCAGTGAAAATCATAACAATGTAACTACATCAATGTCACACAACTTGCCCAAGATTAATGATCCACATATGAGGTCTTTACTCACTGTTTTCAGACACTTCCAGAATGTAACGGATGAGAGGACTGTTCCCGTCAAAAGGTTTGGCCCACGTCAGGTTTATGGCTCTCTTCTCTGTGGTGCTTAACACTGCGCTGGGGTTCTCAGGGGCATGAGGTAACTGCCTGTGGGTAGCATGTTATTTAAAAAGGGAAAGTGTGAGATAGTCTTGACGTTTCAGGGCCATTTAATGTGCACTCCATGAGGCATTATATCTCATGTCTGAATAAAACAAGAACATGAATGGGTCTACAAAAGAGAGGTCAGCGAGGATTGCCGTTTAGAACCATCCATGTTAAATGCTATATAGTTGACTAGTTCTAACAACATTATTGAATGTAATAACAAGCTGCAACCTCTCATCAGCAACCTAAATGCAACATATACATTAAATATAGAATATTACTTTGTCTTTATCCTTTCTCTATATAAGACATGAAGAAAAGAAGAGTTTTAAGAGAATGGGGATGTTTGACAAACGTGAAAATAAATGAGTGAGTATAAAATGTCTATAAGACTACTGTATCAATCGATAAGAGACATGAACATTAATAAAAAGAAAGAGACAAAGTGAATCACAATATGTTTGATAGATAAAAGAGAAAGATGAAGATAAACAGAAAGAAAAAATGAGGGCAGACAATAACCGCTGTGCTGTTAAATTAAAAAAAGGAAGCAACGAGGCAGAAAAAGAGGCCGAACGAGTGCAGGTGATAAACAGGGATATTGAAAAACTGAATGAGATACGATTCAGCAGGGAGAGAACAAATCAAAAAGAAATGATCAGAAGAGATGAAAGACTGCATGGCTAGGGAACAGAGCAGAGAGGATGATGGGAGTGCGTCTTCATCTCTGACCTCACGCGTAAGTGCGCACTACGGGAATCATTGCCGCCCACTGATGTCACTCTGCAGGTGTATGTGCCGATGTCACCTGACCAGGTCTGAGAGATGTGCAGCGTACCGTTGACATCCAGCCGCAGTCGAGGCAGAGACTGAGGGATGATCACCTGACCGTCCTTCTCCCAAATGAATCTGAATGCACACACAAACGCCAACATTAACCACAAATACTGTACAAGTCTTCAAATATCAGTTCATTTTGAGACCATTGTTGTGTATTGCTGTTTTTAAAACTGTTTATTCTTTTATTCAATTGCATATAACATCAAATCCAATACAATGCACTTTCTAATGTGACATTTCTGTGTAAAACAGAACATTAAGTGGAAAAACTGTAAGTGGGACTTGATTTGATCAATCTGATTTTGATCTTATTGTGAAAATTTAGGTTACAATGTTATTAGTGGTGCTTGTTAAAACCCTTCACTACTTCAAACCTTTGAATCAAAAAATTCTTCCCGTAAGCAACATATTTACTAGAAACACCCTAGCAACCGCTAAGTAAACACTCTATCAGAACACTCAGAACCCATCAACTACCTAGTGATGGCCTATCAACCACCCAGAACACCCTAGAATACTCTAGCATCCACTTCGTAACAGCCTAGCAATCACCCAGAACATTCTAGTATCCACATAGTAACACCCTAGCAACCACCCAGAACATTCTAGCATCCACATAGTAACAGCCTAGCAACCACCCAGACTCTTCTAGCATCTATCTAGTAAAACCCATGAAACCACCCAAAACACTCACTCAAGGATTAACTTAGTAACACCATAGCAATCACCCAGAACATTCTAGCATCCACCTAGTAACACCCTAGCAACTACCCAGAACATTCTAGAATCCACGTAGCAATGGCCTAGCAAACAAATACACTAACATCCATGTAATAACGGCATAGCAACCACCTACAACGTTCTAGCATCCACCTAGTAACACCCTAGCAACCACCCAGACTGTTCTAGCATCCATCTAGTAAAACCCCAGCAACCACCCAAAACACTCAATGATTCATCTAGTAACACCCAAGCAAGCACACAGCACATTCTAACATTCACCTAACAACACCCTAGCAACCTAATACACTAACATCCACCTAATAAAGTCATGGCACCCACCTACTGTAGAATGTTCTAGCATCCACGTAGTAACACCCTAGCAACCACCCAGGCTGTTCTAGCATCCATCTAGTAAAACTGAACCTGAAACCACTCAGAACTCTCAAGAACATTCAGAACATGCTAACATCCAAAAAGAAAACCTAACCAGCATAACATCATACTAAATCCCTCAGAAAACATTTGCAAACATATCAGAAAGAGAAAGTCATTACATTTTAACGGAAGATTATGAAAACAACCATTTTAGGACTCTTAAGGATGAATTATTACAATTATTATGTGAACAGGTTCAATTCAGATTTGATGTTGTCTTGTTAATTAAAGTTAACCTAAAAATTTAAATCCCTGTATTAAATGACGAATTACAAATAACAGTTTAGAATAAAGAGAGAAAGCATGGCATTTGATAATACAACTGTATAAAGAATGATTTATTGCATCATTTCATTGACTTCCTTTGTGCTGCTGGTCTGGCAGACATCATAGTTACCGTATGACACCTGTGTGTATGAATTAGCGTATTTAACTGAGCAGTTCCACATATTACATTCATCACAAAGACACTGTACAGAGTTCAGGGAACATCCAAGGTCATCAGAAGCTTCTAACAGATGTGCCCAAGCTCAGCATAATCAATAAGACTCTCTTACACACGCTGGAAACAGATACGCATTCACAAACACTCGTGATTAATTGCATCATGGCCTGGCTTGTTGGAAATCCTTTTACTGCTGCTATCAATTACTGCTTGCATCCAACACAATTACCCTTCCTTCTCATCGCTCATTCTTTACGAAATCAGAGAAAAGCTTCCACGGGTGTTCGGAAGGAGGTAAAGGAGGACAGAAAGACACGGAAGAGGAAGACAGAGGGGGAACCTGACTGAATCACTGAAAAAAACATACTCTTAAATGTCGTCACTAAATGAAGTTCAGGTTCTCATTGGGAGGAACTCTTTGGAAGTTTGCAGGTTTTTTAATGAGAGTCTGGATCTTGCCATCAAATCACTTCTCAATGTCGGTCTGCTGTAAAGGAGGACAGTCGAGGCTGTAGACTTCCAATTGAGTGCACTGGGATTTCAGGCTGATTCAAAGGATTCTGGGGAACTATACGGGGGTTGTAAATGTTGAGATAATGTAATGGCTCATGATTTCACGCTGGTGCGGCATCATTAACACTAGACGATTTTATCCATCAGGATTTGAATGCCGTGAAACATGGCAGGCTATGATATTGCTAGGGCATGCATCACTACCACTAGTGCTCATACTCAGGGTAAAGCATTTTAACAACCCTTGCATTCCAAGTCGGGAGTGAGATATTCCTACTAAGATATTCCTAGGTGCTCCATTTCCAACGCTGTTCAAAGACATATAGGCAAACAAAATGGCAATGTTACCGTTAGCTTTGCAGTTGTTTGATTGTCAACAAATATGTTTTCTAGCAACACAATTGTGGAGTGAATACAATGTAGACCTAATAATGTCCTAGCAACCACCCAGAGCACTGTACAACTAGAAATACAACAGTCGACTGATGAATCTCTAGTTCTGGAGTGTTTCGGCTTTTTAGTTTTATTTTGGCCGATCTCTATTCCAGGAATTGCACACAAACTGCACTGCGATCCCAAATTTACCAAAATGTAATTTGTGTGGAAATATTACTAAGTCTAAACAGGACGTTAACACAGGCCAGAAACGCTGAAGATAGACGCGGAAAATACTGTATCAGGCAGAGCAAGATCCTAAATACTGAATTGGGGATGAGGAGGTATATGAATGTATAACTGAAGGGAACTGACTGTCTTCAGGCATTTTCTTTTCCTCTTATCTCCATTTAATGCCTGTTAAAGTAGTGTTTATGAGTGCAGCGCTGCTTTGTTTACAGCAGCAACCAAGGAAACGCTATATCGCTGCTGTTCCATAAGCACCACCTACTGTCAGAGAGTGAATTTGCATTTTCATTCAGTTGTCTGCAGTTTTTGTTTTCTGCAGGTGTCTTATGTTGCATGTGTGTAGCATCTTTGTTTGGATCACGACTAAAATGCAATGGTTGCCTTTAATTTAAAATGGCTACAGATATTTTGCAATTTGCTTGTTATAGAGCAAATAAACAACAAATAAACTGGCTCAAACAAAGGAAAAGAAAAAAAAAATCGGCTATGAAAAATCATGATCGGTGCATCACTATCTAGAATCCATCTGGTAATGGCCTAGCAATCACCCAGAACATTTTAGAATGTTGTTTTTCAAAAACACCCTAGAAACCCACATTTTCAGAATCTGATGAATCATTACATTCATTACAATGTAAATAAGGAAAAAAAAAAAAGTTGGAGTCTGATTTAAAGTGGCGTTTTAAACCTTAAGAGTATTTAGGGACTAAATAATATTATAGACATCTCGGAACTGCAAAGCAATGCATTTTGCAACTACATAGTAATGCCCTGCGTAGCATTTTGAAGGCGAAGCACTCATAATTTCTTCTAAAAATGTATATATCTAGCTAAATAATATTATTTTTCTCCACCCACATGGTTGCATTAGTTTAAAAGTAGTTTCAAAAAAAGCAAAACGTTTTGTGTTTACAACAATTATTTGCAGTTAAGTGTATGTGGGCTGCACCTGACTGAGACGCTGGGGTCATGCGTCACACCGCAGGTCATGGTGGCTTTTGTTCCTTTGATGACGCTCTGATCCTGAGGAGGATTAGAGATGCGTGTACGTGCTGTTCGATAAAACAAAGGAAATGCACATCAGTATATACACAGGTGTATGACACAAATATGCAAACACACTTAAACATGGACATCGTAAAGAACAAAGATATCCTGTGATCTATACACTTCAAAACACACACACACACACACACACTCACCCCAGACCACGAGGTCGGCCGAGGCCTCGTCTATGCCACGGGAGTTGCTGGCCATACAGGTGTAGGTACCGGCGTCTGATATGTGGGAGGGGCTTATGAGTAAACTTCCTGACTCCAGGAGAGTGAACCGCGGGAGCTGAACCGAACCGCTTGCTAGCACACGTTCTCCTGTGGAGAACACATACCCAGATATAATATGTAAAAGATATAATATGTAAAAAAGTGCAATTTTGTTATTGGCTTTAAACCAAGATGCAAGTCAAAATTAAAGCCTATATAAAAAGTTAAAAATAAAAATCAAGTTGCATGACACACATAAAGCCTATAATAAAGGAATTTGAACTATTATTTCAAAATGCTATTTAAAATTATATGATTTATTAAATAAAACTATATTATATTATATTATATTATATAAACTGAAAGAACACAAAATCTCTGTTTTTAAATAATTATTTTATTGTTAAAGGGGAATTAAACATTCTGTCAACTCTGTGAGAAGGATATTGAGTGAAGGTTTCAAGCTTCAGAAAGGACACAAAGGCACTATGAAAGTAAAATAAAGGTGGTCAATATGACTCATGTACTATATTCCAAGTCTGAAGTCATGCTGTAGTTTTGTGTGAGAAACTGACTGAATTTTAAGTTACGATGAACTGAATATTCCTCTCCAGTGAGCTGTAACTGATTCATTGAAAAGATTTGACTCGAATGAATGATTTGTTTACTAATCAGACATCACTACTCTCTCATGAACACACCAAAAGAGCTAGGGCGATTTTTCATTGGAAAAAAAAATTACTTCAATTTGGGTCTACTGCTCACACAATGGTATCAGAGCACTTGGACTAAAGTGTAAGAAGTCATATGGACTACTTTTCATGCTGCTTTTGCATCCTTTTTGAAGCTTGACAGCCTCAGTTCCTGCTCATTATAATTGCGTGGACATGAGGGACCAAAACAATTCCTTTAAACTTCTTTTGTGTTCCACAGAAAAAGTCATATGGGTTCGAAACAACAGACGGGTGAGTAAACAATGACAGAATTTTCATTTTTGGGTGAACTAATCCTTTAAAGCCACAAGCACTCTTGTTTACTATCCTTCTGCTCTGGCATGAAATGTAAAGCACGGTGCTGGGGATGGACATTCTCCTCTAATTTGTCGGTCTTCTATACAATTATTCCTTACAAAATCTTAATTTTGTGGCAACAAATATCTTATATTTCAGATGGTTCTGGTTAAAGATGTATTTGAAGCTTCTACAATGACTTTGAAGCTTGGCGAGACTTCTTTTAAAAACATTATAAAATCTTGCAGACCTCAAACTTTTGAACTGTATTGTACATACAGTACATTCAAGATTTTTTAAATGTAGATTTGCATAATTGTAGCCCATGTCAAATCACACAATCAGTTTCATGCCTGATGACATCCGAAGAGTATAACATGTCATGGCGACATTGCAGCAAAACAAAAAGAGTGGCAGAAAATAACCAGCCAGAGCAGGTAAAACAGAGGAACAGAGAGGCGCAGAGGTGAAGTGCAGCCTGGGAGCTGACACTTTGTAGTTGATCTTCTGAAATGTGTGAGTGTAGACAATGAAGGATGTGTTGTTCACCTTTCTGCCAGGTGATGGCAGGACGGGGCGCTCCTGAGGTCTCACAGTGAAGGATAACTGACATGCCGTCAATCACAGTGCTGTCGGAAGGCCCTGCCGTGATGTTCGGTGCTATACCTGTGAGAGAAGCACAGAAACTGCATGAGAAACAGAGATGTATAATGGCACACGCAAGTTCAAACACCTCCTCGCATTCGCAAGCGCTGGGAAATCACACAAAACTCGATTCACGCAGATCAAAGCGCGGCTTAGAAACCAAACAAGTAAAGAAAACAATGGAATGAAAGCAGGTATGAAACTAAAAGTTGAACAACAGAAGAAAAACAATTCACTGGGAAACGTAGACAAGCAAGTTAAATTGGGATTTTGGAGGTGGGCGAACAAACAGTTCCTCACAACTTAATACTTAAAGGAATAATTCACCCCAAAATTAAAATTGCGTCATTATTGATTCACACTCATTTCATTCGAAACCTGTATGACATACTTTTTTCTGTAGAGAACAAAACATAAAATTTCATTGTCCAATGTTGTTTTGGACCCCATTGACTTTCACAGTTTGAACAAAGATAGCTCCTCAAAATATCATCTTTTGTGTTCCACAGAGTAAAGCCATATAGGTTTGGAATGACATGAACTTGAGGTAAAGTATGACAAGATTTTCATTTTGGATAAACTACCTTTAACTTTAGTACCGTCCATATCCAGTATCTGTGTTCATTGTAAGCAGAGGTAAATAGCGGCTAGCTTTGGCGTTTAGTGTTTTAGAGAGCTCTATGTGTCTCTGAGCGGCAAGATAAGCTCAGTCAGTCCTCTATAAAAGCCCTCTTTATCTCTCCCTGTCTCTCTGACGGTCTCTCTCCTCCTCACAACTCTTCCTCACAACAGGGTATTAATCACAGCTTTAGCACGCCGACAAAAAGCACATCAGCGACACGAGAGAGAATGAAGACTGGGAGAAAGAAAGACAGGAAGGCATTGTTGGTATGGCATTCAAAGCCTTTTTGATTGCAAGAGAAAGAGATCGAGAGAGAGGTAGAAGAAATAAACGGCCACATGTATTTGTGCATTAGTTTATGAGAGCATGAGAGGCAGAAAGAGGAAAGGTGTAATCCGGAGAGTGGGACAGGCGGATGAACTCACTCGTAACGGCGAGGTAGGTGTTGGTCTGCACCTCTCCGGCCTGGTTGCGGGCGAAGCACTGGAACATTCCGGTGTCGTCGGGCAGAAGGCCGTTAACCTGGAGACTACCTCCTGCCAGCACTCTGTAGCGCGGGGTCTTCACAGGGCTTATGGGTACCGCGTCCTTGTACCACACAATATCAGGCTGTGGCACACCTGAGATGAATAGGAATGTAAAGGTGACCAACTGAATGAAGAAAGAACTGAATAATAAGATATATAAAATAATATAAATTAAACAATAAGATAAATATTAAATATAATTATTTAATAATAATAATAATAATAATAATTGAAATTATATTAAAATATTATAATAAAAATATAATATATTACATTTATACATAAAAAATAAATAAAGATATTATAATGTATTTATTTTTATTTGATTTATTATGTAAGAACAAATAATTTATTAATAATTAATAAATTAATTAATAAAAAATAAACATTGTATATAAACTATTTAGATTAAAATATATATCAATCAAATATACATTTGATATATTATTATAAAAATACTGTATACAAATATAACACACATATATAATAATGTATAATATATGTATAATAATGTATTAATAATTAACATATAAATTACAAAAATAAACACTGTATATAAAATATATAAATTAAATTAAAAACAAAATCTAACAATTATATATAATTTCTTTAATGCTATTCTATTTAATTCATTGTATAAAATTAATAATCTAACACACACACACACACACACACACACACACACATATATATATATATATATATGATATATGAATAGTGAATATAACAATATAACATTACCACACTGGGTACGACGCAACAAAGCTTCAACTTTTCCATGAAACACACTGTTCAAAAATCATGTTCCATATGGCTGTATATTGAACATCTGATTGACTGATCTGTTCTGGTTAAATGTGGATGCTTTGTGCAGCATGCTGCTGTCAGTAAGGACAGAACAAATCGCTTGATGCTTGAAAAACCTCATTAGGAGGAGGTGTCTCACCTCTGGCCTGGCAGGGAATGTCCACTACTTTTTCCATCTCAGCTGTGATGTGTTTTTCTGGTTCCTTCACAAACTGAGGCAGTTCTAAAGGAAAGAAAGAGCAAGAGAGAGAAGGTTATGACCTCCACATGTGCACTTGAGAGAAAAATACCACAGACAAATGACACAGGAAGCAAGATTGAACATTTTCAAATAAATATGACTGTTGTTTGATTTTTGAGAACATCCTGTTCAAGTTTTTTTTTTTTGGTTTTACTCTGACAACAGAACATTTCCATAGAGACAGAGATAGAAAAATGGCCCTAAAGGAAACATACACTGTAAATAGTGACTAGTTACATTTAAAATTCCTAGTTGGCTTACTAAACGTTTTGCTGTTCAAAAGAACACCATTTGAAACAGAAATATTTTTTATGTATTGTTTTAAGCATTATTTTATTTATTTATTTTGAATGCATTTTTGCTAAATAGTAATGGGCAAAAATAAACATCTGTATTTATTCTCCTGGAAATCAAACCCAAAACCTTGTCATTGCTAACATCAGTGCTACCATTTGAGCTATAGGCAAACTGCATGACTAAAATGCAACATCTTTATTTATTTAACACGACTTTCTGTTCATTTGGCTTCAAAAAGTGAATCAGTGAGAGGTGCAAAGTTCCTTTACTTCTGCTCATGCTCATCAGCTTCAACATGTCCACTGTTGCTCAGTGAATATAGATTTTTATGCTGAATTTAATAGGTTGACTCAGCACACTGATTATAATGAGCAGAATATTAGTCTGAACATTATTTATTCATTTATTTATTTTTACAGTGGAACATTTGTATATCAGCACTTATTTAGTATTCAATATCCTGCCTCGATAAACAACAACTGCTACAAAAATATAGAATATGGCACTTAAAATGTCATTCATGGATTTCTAATGCACTTGTGGATTTATTTACACTCAAATTTACAACTAGTATAACTGTAGTACCGAGCACATGCAGGTACGCTCCAGCACTGACAGAGGGAACGCTGCTGCTACGGAGGACAGCTTCACACTCGTAGAAGCCAGAGTCACTGACCACTGGACTCAACACCGTCAGTCTACGGTTAAAATCACTCAGTCCACTCCTCACTGGAACACCATCCTTCTTCCAACTGATGCTCAGCTTTATTAACGGCCTGAGAGAGAATTACAGTGGGGTAGAAAGTGAAAGGGAGGTTATTTATTATAACTTTTATTATATTTATTATTATATTTTATTATACTTATTATATCTTTTGCTTTTCTGACTAAATAAATTTGAAGTAATGTTCCATGTACAAAGCAATTGAAGTTCTATCACCAGAAACTGTGATATATTGTGAAATATACCAGAAAATAATTTTCACTAGTTCCTCAGTCTGAAAACAAAAAAGCAAACATTTTTCAAAATAAAGCACTCACCTTGAAAGTCCATGGGATAAGACATTTAAAATACACACTCCTCCACACCATTTAAAGATGGTGATACACATGAGGATAGCAGACAGAGAAAACAGTAGTAATTCATACTTTCGTATTCACCTAAAACATAATAATAACTTCCATAATGTGCAGTATACACTGAAAACTGCATTTAAAAATAATGGCCAAAAAACAAACAAACTAAAAAGCTATTTGAAATATATGCTAAATACGTGTTGTAAACAGCATTGATAAAGAAAATAAATAATAATAAAAAAAATATATACATATATATATATATATAT